TATATATAATATTATGACCAAAACGAAATGGTCCCGGTTAATTGACTTCGTTCCAGTCTCATGTGAACGGGACCTAATAAAATCCTTCAAAAGTTGGCTAAATTTTTCCAAAACTTCAGTCAATATAGTTTTGTAGTACACCAATCCCAAGATCTGTCACTAAATTATGGGTTGATTGCCTGAATAGATATAATTCCTCAAATCATGATTTTTGAAGTTAATTTGATAGATATTTTTAATTGCATGGATTATTGGCTCATATTTCTCTGCTATTTAGCCTTAATATTGTAGCCTTTTTCAGGAAAGGAAGTGCAAACAAGCGCATACAATAGCAATTCTTCTTCAACTAATGGGCAACAATTTCTAAATAGCAAGGAAGCTGAATGACTGTAGGGGTATGGATAGCTTTTTCATGGGCTCTGCTCAGTTTGTATGTTGTAACTTATGTCGACCCATTGCAAGTGAATTCAACAAAGGCCAGTAAACAAAAATGACAAAAATATGCACGATAAAGTTTCACGTTTCAGGTTGGAGTTTGGTACTATTTCAACTGTCAATTCGACATCGAACTTTGAAAGATTCAAAACCTATCTGTCTCATGTTTGCTCACTACATAATTTTGTCAACGCAATGGTGTTCATCATAACTTAATAACAAATTATAATTTAGGTTTTGGAAATGATTGGCTTTTTATCAGGAAGCAGTGCGCTCTAACACTCTCTTAAAACATTTCGACGGCCATTTTCAAACACCAAATTAAACAGGGTATAGAAATAAAATAACACCAGAAGTAAAGGTCTTCGTTACTTAAATCTTATCTTTAAGTTCCTTATAATAGCTGTAAGTAACAAAAACATATAAATTTTACACAAGTAATATTTTATAAAGCAATAGTTTGAGCCTACCTTCTGATGGGTCAAATACTCGTCGCCACATTTGTTTACAATTAGAACGTCTTCCCCCCTCCACCCGCAAAGCCCGCATCACGGATGGTCCCAAGACTTGTATTGCCGTTTCCACGCCCTCTCTCCCTTCGCCCTGATGACCACTGACCACTGTAAGTTCTATATTATTATAAAGTTTGGGTTTTTTAGTTTAATACTTTATATATGATGTGGTAAATGCGCCTCGCAGTATTAGAATTAATATGAAATCCGATAGGGCAAACTTGTGTTATATATAATTTAGCCTACCCATACGTCTTAAGAATACTTTGTCGTTTGTATTTATTTATACGCGTACTATAAAGCAGCGCGTAATTTAACAGATTACACTTGGTCTTGAAAATATTATATATTCTGGCTGCATGTATGTGTCAAGAATGCTTTGTCGTTTTCATTTATGGGCGTACTTAAGGAGCGCGCAATTATAGCCTTTCTACCGCCGCCATTTTTAGGGCACTTTTTCGCCAATCCTGCAAGCGTAACACCACGTAACGGCGACATTTTATAATTTTATGAGTGTATGATGGTAAATTTACTCTGTAAATAGTTAGTTTGTTCTGAAATATTGCTTTTCACATTGTTATAATCGTTTCCGAAAAATTGCAGTACTCCAAAAATGGTGGCGTGAGAAAGGCTATAATTGAACTTTGTCTTGGCAATATTGTATATTCTTTCTTATGCTTCAAGTCGATGAATATTACTTCCATAACATGCAAGTATTCAATGAGACGCACATGTTTAATATGTCTGTCACCTGTGATTTTCCTTTAACTCCTGGTGTTGGCAACAAATGGACTGCTTTTCCTCAGTTACACTCATGAATGGAATGAATCGATTTCGTATATCTTTAAGATTCAGCCACAGCTAGTGCTCACTAGTCGCTAGCTTGCTGTGAGTAATAACTCAACGCTTTATATAATTTGTACTATTTAGTTTTATTTGCTCTTATAATGCCAGCAGCAATTCCTATACCTTGCAGGTACCCTATAGGTTATAATTCTTTATTAAAAAATACTGCGCAACACTTGAACCGTGCAAGCTTACATATAGATAATTTTGTACACCTATGCACTAGATAGTATTAAAAGTATTTTAAAAAATTGAAAAGTATATATACAGTTTTATATAGAACAGGCTCTTTTCACATACTTTTCAACTTTTGATGTAGGTTACAAAGCTAAAACCATAAACTTTATTGATTTGAAAAAATCAAATCTATGCATTCTGTATATTGAGCGCACAAGAGCACTTTAAAGCTGGATTACCTTTTTTATACCCCTTATACATATATACAAATAATTATCAAATATCATAAATTCACATTTCAAGTATAAAGTGTGCCGAACATGAAAATAATGTAACGCATATTACTCATGTTGGTCTTCGTCGGCTGTTGTCGACTGTGTCTGAAAAGAAGAAAAAATATTTAAATCCTATTCAATTAAACATCTTTTCCTTTAGAAAAAACAACGCATTTTGAGACCAAATTTGTTTCATTCACGCGTCCTCTTGGGATTTCGAATCGAAAGCTGTGCAATAATTATTAAATTTATTAAATAAACATAAGTGTTATATAGAGGTTTTGACCACTGAGAAAAAAACGCGTTCCAAACTATCTTTGCATTTTCCAAAATTCATTTTTTGGCTATTTTCCTCTCATTTTGCAGATTTTGTGCTAATTTTCCGCAAAATATAAAAAACGTTTTAAAAATGTTTGAATGGCTTTGTACTATCTGTAAAATAAGTCGAAAAAATTGATGTTTGAGAAAAAAGCATGATGCAAAATCACGCTTAAAGCGCGAAAACTGTTTCCATAGAAAAACTCGTCAACATAAACAATCGTTTTCAAAAAATCTTGCTGACCTTGAATTTTTTTCTGCAAAAATAGAGGATACGGACTACCAAGAATTACGAATAAGCA